TTCCAAATCAACGCTCGGCTTATGGAACGCTGGAATTTATCAGCCCGGTGCAGGGGCGAGCGCTGCAGGGGAGCAACGAGCTTTTCCCTCCGTGCCATCATATGGTACCGATTATCTCCCAGTACAGCATAAACCGTAATAACAACCAGACTCAGGGCCAGTGTACTGCAACCTGTTTCCCCTGCTGCCTCCTCCTCTTTCAGCATTCTGTCATTAATCCCATAAAATGTTTGCTGTTTGTATTTCCTCCTGGAGGGCACTGACGAGCCAGGAGTGACTTACTGCTATAAAATAGAATATTTTTAATTGGAGGGCATTGCATTTTGAATGTGGCTTCAATGGCCAAGGATGGTATGATGCACAACATCTCCCTGAGCTCCATCCTTGTAAAAAGGAGGCGAGGCAGGCTGGAGATGTGCAAATCCCTCCGTATCCTCCCCACACATCCACTATCAAACACTTTCTTTCCAACAGCTCACTCAACACTCCATGCTCTGAGCTGTAGCCATTCATGGTGGCGTTTTTATCCCAATTATCTAAAGAGCAAGTAGAACTAACGTGGAAAACAAGGACCTGCCCTCGAGCTATAACCAAATCCAGCAGCCATCCAGGCTGGTGTCTGGGAACCATCTGACACCAGCCACTCCCAGAGGCAGGATGCACGTGGTCCCGCATTTCATCTGCCATCCCTGCACGGCTGGGAAACAAGAAGAATAAGTCAAAAATCATCCAACATGCAGGGTTCAAGGTGAGACCCCATCCCTGGAGGGGTTCAAGGCCAGGCTGGACGCGGCTTTGGGCAACCTGGGCTAGTCGGAGGTGTCCCTGCCCATGGCAGGGGGTGGGACTCGATGGGCTTTAAGGTCCCTTCCAACCCAAACCACTTCCAGCCTCCTTGGAGACATCACTTAGTTTTGTGCTTTAATATGTCCCAGGAGTTAGAGTCACTCTAATTAACCCCTTCAGTTTCTCAGACTCCTCCTTTATATTGAACATGAACGCTGGCAGATTCCTTGTTTGGGCAGTTTGATTAAACTCAATTTTTCCCCATAGCAACTAATCCAAGAGCAGTGGATTTTATGCCCCATCTTTTTCCTGCTAAACTGGTCATGCTGCTTATGGGCATGATGCATCTGTGATCTGCAGATAAATTAGGGCTTTTTTTTCAGAATTGTTACCCGAGTTTAGCAGCATTTGCATCTTTGTTGGTTTAACTTCTAGCCCTGGCTTTCTAGTGCTGAAAGCTTACGGTCACACGCACGCTTCTGATATTGCAGATGCAAATCTGGGCAAAGTAGTTCAAACTAAGCAGGAACTGAACCAAACCATCAGCCCCAAACAAACAAACAAATAAACCTAAAATAAACGAATTTTTCTGGTTTCAGATGCCTTCTTTCTGCCCCAGTTTACATCCCCTCTCAGACCGCAGCATTAGTTCCAAAAGATTCCCTAACACGCATGCATCCTGTAAGCTGTTGCAGCTTCTCTGTTCTTTACAACACCCTGAACTTGACCATTTTCTTAACCTGAGACATTCTGGCCAACAGCCCAGTCTTAACGCTGCTTCTGCTCATCACCCAGTTCCCAACCCTCCTCCGCCTGAAGCGCATGCAGCCAAAAATAGTAAATACAAGACGCGACACGGGAGCTGAGGACATGTCCATTATTCAATGTGCATGAAGGCAGCTCCAAACCATCCCAGACAGACCATGGATCCACCCTCACGGCTCTTGACCTGTGTCCCTTCACAGCTGTAAAATCTAGCACTTCAAGTACCATTACATACATTTTGGCACACAGTATAATTCGAATGAGCTTGTAAATCAACAAGGAAACTGAAAACACACATTCTGTAGAGCAAAAATATTTCGTGAGGGCTAATGTCTGCACAGCAAATGGGTGAATCAATAGCAAAAAGAAAGAAAATTTGCAAGTCACGATGTTACAGAGGATGACTGGAGGGGTTCAAGGCCAGGCTGGATGAGGCTTTGAGCAACCTTGGCTAGTGGGAGGTGTCCCTGCCCATGGCAGGGGGTGGCACTGGATGGGCTTTAAGGTCCCTTCTGACCCAAACCATTCTGGGATTCTATGACTCTATGCAGGGGACCTGGAGTGGTCATCGGATCTGTCCCCTTGCCCACACTCAGAGCCAAGAGGACCTGTGACACTGGGATTTGTACCAGCAGTACAGCTAGCTGATGACGTAAGGCAAGCTTCAGAAGAAATAAAATCTTATATTAAATCAACGGATGTAAGTGGAAAGACCAGTGATGTTTTAGGGAGCACCATCCCTTCTTCAGACCTGTCAGACCTCACAGCAGTGCCTTGCTGAGGCCAGCTTCCCAGCTTTCTTTAACATGCTTTCAACCTCTGCAATCTCCTCTCCCAGGACAACATGGAGAGCTTTTTCTACTGTTTAAGCTGAACTTTTTTTATTGGTATTTAAGCTCATTATTTCTCGCCTTGTCCAGCATGGGCTGTTCCCTAACTCTTTTCTCATAGCTGACAATTGTTATCCTCCCTCAGTTTTCTCCTACTTTGGTCACTATGCCACATTTTCTCAATTTTCATCCTTTCGAGGGATGTTGGAATGTCAATTCTGATTTGAGTCAGAAAGCCCCACCAGTACCTTCCCCTGGTACCAGCTCACAAAGGGCAAGTGAAAAAGCAAGGAGTGCGAGACCAGCACACGCACCCCGTGGTCATTCCCCCCTGCTCTCCTGGTGCCTCCATCTGTGACTCCGCCATTCCCAGAGTCAGGGCTGGTGTTATTTTGATAAGCCTGGGATGGCTCTAACCCATGACGACTTCACCTCGTCACTCCTGAAACCAGGGTCGCTGGATGCGCTGGAGCAATCAGTTCTGCCATTTAATTACCTGTATCGCATTATGTGCTAAGAGGTGCCTATTTCCTGTGTTTTTGAATTTGCTTCCTGCCAACTTCATTTCATGTTCATTAGAACCTGTATGAGGACAGACAGGGAGCCACCACCCCAATTAATCTTCTCAGTCATTCACGATATTGCAGATCGCCACCAGCTGCCTCTTTTCCACGCTGCGGGCTCCCAGTCCATTCTTCTTCACGTAGAGCTCTCTGGTTATCCTCGTACTCCTGCTACAGACCTACTTGGTCCTCAAGACTCAGGCTCCAATTCATGCAGACAATGACATAATAATGTCATCAGCAGGTGTCTGTTTTTCTTAATAATTCTTCTCTTGCCCATTTGCTTTGTGTCAGCTGCTGAGCACGGCTGTTATTCGCACGCTGCAGCGCTGTTTTCTTGCCACACATTTTGCCTCTATTTCCTTCAAACACCCTGTTTCATGGGAAATTATTCTGCAGTGCCTGTCTCTTCATATTTTCCCTGTTTTACATATTAAACTTCCAGTTCAGCAAAATCCGGCACAACCACAAAATTGGCCAACTCTGTATATTAATATTTTCTGACATTTTCTTACTATTTTCTAAACATCTTGTTTGAAAAATAAAATGGACACATTTGAATGGGCCTTTAGAGCTTGGAGGAATCACAGAAGTCCAATAGCTGCAAGGTTTTTGGTGGAGTGGTTTATGTAATATATGAAATATTAAAAAAGCTGTCCCCGGCGTAACGAGCCAGACTGCATTTCTTCATCGTATTTCGAATGAGTCACATAAATCTCCTGTTCTGCACATGTGTCCCTACTCAAAGAATTTCCCTAAGAATGCTAGTCGAGGATTTTCAGGAAATTACAATAGTTTGAATGAATTTAGAAACAGTCGTATGCTTACAACATATCATAATGGATACTTCAGAAAGGAAACTGAGCAATACTTTAAAAAATATTCAAAGTATTGTATTTGATTAATGCAAGGTCATGGCATTCAGCACTTCAATTCCAGATTGTTCATTCTCATATTTCCACTGTAATTTTATGAAAGAAAAGTTTTATCTTTAATTCTACCAAATAAATATTTCAAATAGCAAACCTGGAATTTAAGATATTTAGGAAATCCTTCAGAAACCTAAGCTTTCAAGATATATACAGTTATATCCCTTTTATGAGTGGGAACTGCTTTTCAACTTCCTGACCACTGGAAAACGAAACAAACAAACATCTTATCAGCAAAAGTTGATATCTGATGGACCTGAAGTTACGTAGTACCAGAAGATGATGTTTTAAGTGACTGCAAATCAATTTAATTTACGGAGTCAGCTACTCTTTGGAATCAGCGTGGCCCATGGAAGGGTTGGGCTGTCAAGAGCTCACAGCAGACACACACACGTTCACGTTAAAGGAAGCGCCTGCTCCTCAGTGTAAACAAGAGGCTCACAACCCAACCGAAAGAATTTCCTTTAAAGAGGAGCATCAAAGACCCATCTTGCAGTGTATCGCCCATTGCCCCCGCAGTCTCCCAAAACCAGCTTTCTCGCTCTTGAAAACAAACACCCGCCCTTGATGAAAGCAGAAAACATTAAACAATGCCAGGGAGAGGGGGAGATAGGATCCAACCCCACCCAAAGCACCAGGGATCTCATTTTGTTGCACCTTCAAGGAGATTTTTGTTCCCGCTGGAATGTGCTGACCTGAGGGTCCTGACCTGCTGCATTGAGCAACCTGGGGTAGTGGGAGGTGTCCCTGCCCATAGCGGGGGTTGGAACTCAATGGTCTTTAAGGTCCCTTCCAACCCAAACCCTTCTGTGATTCCATGATTTCTGGTGTATCTTGCAAGTCAACCGATTTTACGACCCATGAATGAGGAAGGACACCCAGATTTGCTCTGGACCAGCCCAGCAGAACAAGGAGGAGGGTTGTGTTAGCAGGTGCCTACCCACCTGCCTGCATGGCCAAGCCCACCCGTGGCACACGCCCTCTGTTGCATAACGTCATTTTATCATGTTCCTTCCCATCCGCGAGCTCTGCGCTAGAGGATCTTTGCTGCTCATTTGCCTGAGCCCCATGATAACTTTCCGTGCGGCGTTAAAACTTTCCTAATGGGAAAGGCTCACACCTCTTACCTTCAATAACGCACTGATCGGGGATGGGGATTTTCCTCCCCATCTCTGTGACATATGCTTTCACTTTTCCCAGGTTTTCCTTCAAGTGCAAGTAGAGCTTGTCCTGGTATTCCACGGGGCTCGTCCCTGCCTCTGGGATTTCTTCGGGGGCCTTTTCTTTATTTATCATTTCTGGCAAATTTGCTGATTCCGTGTTATCGATACTTTGGTGTGAAACCAAAGAATTCCCCAGTTGCATTGCTTCAGTGTCAACACTAAAAGGCAATTTGTCATTTTCTTGGCCGATGTAGATCTCGGTGAGGGAGATGCCAGCGGTTATCTCCCCGTTCTCCTCCTCCTGCCCGCTCTCCGAGTTCACCCCCTTCATGCGGACAGCGTGCAAAGCCAGGCTTTTGGACCTGCAAGGTGATTAAGGATTAATTAGGAAAGGAAAAATGTTTCAGAATAGAGGTAAGACACAAAAATCACCCAAACACGTGCTCTTACGAGTTACCTCTGTGCAGCTGGCTGAGAGCTGAACGCGGGGCTTGCTTAGCCAGAGGCAAATATCTTTCGATAAATACGCATTTCAAAAGCAAAGCTCAAGCCACAGCTTTAATGAGCCAATGAAACCAAATAATCTCCATATATCACAACATCTGCATGCCATGGATGGAGCTAGTCAACCTATCCGCAAGCCACTGAGAAGCCCAGTGCTGGAGTATGTGCTTTATTGTCACATCATCAAAATGCCATCCAGCAGCCCCTCCACCGAACCAAGGGTCAGCCTCTGGTCCTTCACTGCCCCATCCCTGCGTGCTCAGTTGAGCCTCTGTAAGAGTAAGAAGGGTACAAGCGAAGGGACTGAAAGGGCAAATACTGGAGTAGGAAGAGAAAACCTCTGGGTGCACGCTGCCGTCTGAGCCTGTATCTCAGCCGGGGTCCCGGCGAGTGGCACTGATCTCACCCAGCGCGTGGGCAAAAATTCAGTCAAATATTTGATACGTGTGGTCAGCAATAATACCCAAGAAAGGTCTCTCTCTTCCTTTCTAGTGATATCTGTATGCAAATATTTTCCTATCCCTTGTGCTGTTTTAGGGCCCAGAAGAGATGAAATAAATAATTTAGAAAGATTTTATCCAGCCTTTGAACTCATGGGTATGAGATTGGGTTAAAATTTGACTTAGGATGCCCGCAGGTATCATGCAAGCAGACCAGATTCTCAACGTTTGCACCAAGTTTTATTACAAAACTGGTATTCATGAAAATCACTCACACGCTTTACAGAGCCATACCTGTTAAATCTCATATCCTTCCTTTCTTCTTTAGAAACCTGCCCTAGACTGTATCTCCGCGCTGAGCCAGGGGTACTGTTGTCGAGGTTTATTTTCTCTTCGAAAGCCTGTATTTTAACTTGCAGCTTCTCATCTTCTTCGTTTCCATTCATAACAGCTTTTAAATCATCCGCTGGTACAGGAGGTTCTGTTTCAGTATCATTTTCCGTCCTAAGGGAGCAGAGAGCAGAGGTTTAACTCTGGCACACTGTGTTCATAGGGATGCTCCTGCCCGGGACCTGGATTGTGTACCTGGTAAAATAATCATGTTTCAGCAGAATTTCTCTTAGAGGTCAATTAATCATTTTCAAAAACATCTTCTAGATCAACATCACTGTCAGATGGGCCAGAAACATCGACCATCTCTGACAACACGGGATTAGGAACCGCATGTGCTCTTTATCTGCATAAGCAAAACCCAACTCCTTCTCTGACAGTCCCACAGCAAAAAATTTTTCAACTGAACTAAAACCATTCTCTCCAGCTTGCTAACCAGCAAGTTACTACATTATTTTCATAAACCAAAAGCTGAGCTAATTGCAGAGCTTACAGAAGTCTGTGGTTTTAAAGGTTTGATGAAAGTACATGCAGTTCCTACCCAACTGTGGTACTCGGAGTAGGAAAAATATCTTTTAGCACATGGCCAGGAGCAGGCTCAGGAAAAGTTCTGGGCAATGTGACTGAAGCTCAGCAAAAGAGAAAATGAAGAGTTAAAATGAACTTGTAGGACTGCAGGACGAGCTGCTTTGTTTTGAATTTTATTGTCATGTTAGCCTTAGAATGGGCAATGTTTGAATGCAAAATTTGAAGACAACTGTAAAATAAATCGAAGGGAAGCTGTGTATCTTAAAGAACATAAAGAAACTGCTGTCCTATATACCGCTGGTGAAAATTTGCTTTCCAGTGAATAACGTCACACCATTGTCACACCCTGCTCTAAGCACAGCCCGTTTCCATGCCCAAAACCAGGGTCCCTAGGTTAAAGTTTTCAGTCCGAGCGCTGGATTCCCCGAAGCAGAGTTTCTGGACGCGGAGTTTGCTGGGTTCCCACGCAGCTCAGCCTGCGGTGAGGCGCAGCCCCTCCAAACCCCGGGCCACCCGCCAGAAACCCAAACCTGGGGCATCCGCGCTCTCCCTTCAAGGTGCTGCTGGGCCTTTATGTGACAGTATTTACTTTTTAAACTCTACCCACAGCTCTCAAGCAAGCTCGTTTTGCTTCTGACCATTTCTTTGGTCTTTTTTTTCTCTGAGGAGGAAACATCTGAATAGCTGAATCTGTGAAACACGGACATGGAAAGCCACAAACGAGAGTTTGAACACAGCACTTCCAAAGCAGCAGAGTCTCAGCAAGTCATGCTCACAGCTGGGAAGCCCATTAAAAACTCCCAAATACTGCAAATTACTGATTGTGGAAACAAAGCATGTTTTAAAAAAAGCCAAACACGAACACTGCATCACAAAATGCACTTTTTCATTTGTTTTGATAAAGGCAGTTCAGGATATTTCTCAGGGGAGCTGGCAAGTTGTGTCTTGTTTTGTTTTTGATTTAGGCAAGATCTCGTATTAACAATGCAGAACACTTTGGAAAAAAAATATTCTTCTGTAATAAAAACCCTTGGTATGACCTTTGCTAACAAATCTTTCTGGAGATGTGGGACAAGATTTAATTTATTAGAAAGCTGTCACTCCAACATAACTCTCAACACTGCTCCCATTGTGGGCACTAAGCGCCAAGAAAAGCGTCTGTTCCATATGGATATACACATAAAGCCCTCTGGCTACCGAGAGGGGATTGATGGACTGATGGGGCTTATGAATGACAGCCCTAACCCAGCAAGCCTCGACGATGTTTGGAAATAAAACAGCCTTTTAGAACAGCACCTTTCTGTCCAGCATTCTCCTGCTGAGCTCTGATGGCTTGGTGAAGAAAATGCAAGATGCTTCTGCTAAAGCAAGGCATTAACGACTCCCGTTTGCCATCCGTAAAGCTGCAGTGAGTTGGTGCATACGGCGCTCATCGCTGCCTGGTGCTCCTCAAACCACCACCTCGGCTTTGACCCTGTCGGTGCCGGGATTTTGGAGCAAAGGGAGGGAGGCAGAGGCTCAGCCCCGGGCACGGGGGCTGTTCGCTCTCACGTGTACCCAACTTTGGGCTCACATCGATTCCCCATGAAGCCAACAACACGTATCCCAAACGCAATGTTCAATGAAGCCTCCACCCCACGCCCAACGGGACGCCTGGCAGCCCTTCCTGCCGGCCTCCCCTTCCAGCAACAGTAAAATAAACCATTGTTTGAAATCTTGGCAAGAGCCGCTCGGTACATTGCTGAGGTTGCTGGAGCAGGATCAGCTTACACCAAAGCTCGGGCTGTTTTTGAGAGGAAAAGGATGCACAAACCTACCGAGAATGCATAGGGCCCTAGTGCTGTGCTGCTCAGCGCTTCACTGCTTTTAAATTCTCTGCAGAAACAGACCTAAACACACCGGTCAGAGAGTCACGAGTGCTGCGTTAATTTGAAGAGCGTTTCCCCAGATCACCAGCACCATTATCAACATCACCAGTCGCATGCTTAAAATGGGAAAAAGAGCAAATAGGAACTGCTACAAACACACTCGAGTGGGATTGCTGCCAGGGCTTCAGCCCTGCGTGGATGGAGGCAACAGGAACGGATCAAGCGTGGGTCCTCGTGGTTCATCAATGGATGGACACAATCACCTCCTCAAACACGACAGAAGTGCAGATTTGAAGAAGGCAAGTGGTGGATAGTGACAGCAATCTCAAAACCTCCAGCTCATGGTTGGGAAGCCCACCAAGAGCTTCCAAATATTGCCAGGAACCAATCATGGAAACATCATCAGCCAGATAACGGTCAAGGCTGAGGTGCCACGGAGCTGGGGGCTGCATCCTCCGGCACTTCGCATGCGGTGCTGCTCGCAGGGACTAATGGTGGAGACCAGATCATTCTGATGGCTGATGCTGAGGACCAGGCAGGACAGGGAGCTGCGAGGGGAGTGGCTGCTTCACCCAGACAGGCTTCTTGGTACCTGCACTGGATTAAATCTTTACCAACATCAGAAAGCCTTAGATGCTATTATAGCTCTTTACTGCTACAAATGTCGATTTAAAGAAGGACAAATACTGTAGAAAACAAAAGGCAAATGGTAAATGAATGCTCAACGTGCTAGACCTACCCTCTCCTTTAAGGAGAAAAGTTAATTTCATGGAGCCACCACACTAACATGAGTAGCACTGGTATAGCCTGTTACACGCGGTTCTTACCCAGAACAAGGGCTTGTAAGCGTCATTAAATTCCCTTCCCTTCTTCTTCTTGACTGTGCTATACTTCCAGGTTGGATCAGTCCATTAAAACTCTGCATGTGTTCTCAGAAAGCACCTCCGAGACCAAATAACTTGAAATTTTGTGACAGTAAGGGGCAACAGAGCATCGCATGGTTTTAATTATCCTCCCCGCTAACTGCATGTAAAATTCACTGTGTCAAACAGCTCCACGCCAGCCATGGCTCTGAAGAAATCAGTTTCTTCTTATGTAAACACATGATTCTGGAAGGAATGGTTATAATCTAGCCACACATTTTAAAATCCTGTTTTCCTCTCCCAGCATAAAGACTCTGGATTGCTGCTCTTTAAAGAACAGTGACTGCAGCAGCTCCGCAGCCAGGAGGGGATTTCCACGCCAGCTTCTGGACCAGTCCCACTTAGTTAGTACGAGTCAGAATAAACTCTGCCTAAATTAGCAGAGAGCTCTCATTTTAGCCTTAACTGCTAAGCTATGCTTGTTCTTGCTGATACTTTGCTCGATAAAGGCCTGAAATGTCAAACCAATACCTAAAATTGTGAGAAATCCGTGTTTCTGCGTGTTCTCTTGTAGCCGTGTTGAGAGAACAAGACGATGGCAGCTGCAAGCAACCAGAGGACTGGGGGTATCACAGGGACTGTCCTGTCTCGTAAAAGCAGCCATTTATCCACAGAAATGTTCAAAACTCATACCAACAGAACAAAGAGCACGGTTACACCTTCATTCACTTATACGCACAGCAGCGTTCAAACCTCTCACTCCGAACCCAGTGCACCTTGAGCACACAGCCAAAGCCTTCGCCCTTCATGGTATAATCAGTAGAGTTTCTTTCCCGAAGGAAAATAAGGATGTTTTCTGAAAAAAACACTGAAAAATATTCTGATTTCCTCCCTTCTGCTCACCCAGACTCTCCACCCAACAGCACTTGGCGCCTGTAGCCACACTCACGGGGTGAAGCAGCTTCTGCTCCTCAGCAAAGCGAGTCCTTAACACGGGGGATTTCAGAGAGAGATGGGGAAACACCGCAACAGCATCTTCACAAAAACCTTTTCTTGCTTTTTAACAACTGTAGTGATAAATCTTAGGTGCACAAGATAAGGAGTAGGAATATCACAAGGTTTTAGCAAATAAAGTAACTTTTCTGCCATCAATGAAGGGACCACGATGGGCTGCAGGAACGATTACGATGCTCTGTTACCGAAGCCTCCATTCCTGCACTGCTTCGTTCAGTTCCCAGAACACAGGACCTCCTCCTGGTCCCCTTCACTAAGGGACATCTGGCACTCTCTTCTTCATGGTTGAACTTGACTGCTTTGGAAGAGGATGTCACTCCATGCTCGCTTTGCTGTCTCCCTTCGGCTTTTTCACCGTCTTCAATTAAACTCTGCATGAGACGAGCGCCAAGGGCTCCATTCCCACAGAGGTTTCTGCCACCAGGTGAAGTTCGGATGTTTCTTACAGCCTTGTTGTAAAACGAGCGAACATATCGGAGTTCCCCTCCTTTTTCATTTTTAACTCTCTCCAGGATACCAATTAATTGTTTCTCGAATGACCTCAATGTTTTGGCTCCGACTCCACGAGTCTGCCTCCAAGGCTATCCTTCATAGTTATGAGCTTTCTGACATCTGTGTTAAATTTTATCCCAGAATTGCTGTTCCTCTGTGCCCTCTTGACCTATTTCAGTATACACAATGCTAATTATAAGTCTCTCCCTAATTAAAAGTGACTACCACCATATATTTAAATAACACTTATATTCTTTCTGTAGACAGATGCAGCGATGCTCCCAATGTTTTAACCCTAGGATACACATTTAAAAGAAGCCGAGTGAGCAGAACATCTTTTTATATAAGCTTCAGAATTACTTTTTTCAGACTTTTTTAGCAAACCTTTACCAGGGAGCTACGCCAGTCATTGTTCAGGGGTTACCTTCTAGAATAAACTCAATGACAGTTGTGCAGCCTGACTTCACAGATTTATTTTTAACTGGGGACTTCTTAGATAGCCTTAGTTTACTTATCTGAGACACAGCTTTCTTCCTGTTGTTTAAGCGGAGATAGCTGTGGCTTTATCACACAAAAACAGCTTTACCTGGCTCCGGACGCGCTGTCGTTCCCTAGCTGTCGGCCGAGGAGCTTGGCGATGGCAGTGAAGCTGTTGCTCATGCGGTAGATGTCTCTGCTCTGGGCGCCCAAGATGCTCGAGAAGGTGTCAGTGAGACTCTTGATTTCCAGCAAAAGAATGTGGTGGAATGAGTGCTCCATGTTGGCCAGCTGGTTCACCAGATACACCAGGCAGATTCTGGCTCGCTCCTGGGCAAAATAAGGAGATAAAAACAATTTTCAACAAATTAATTCATTGTTTGCTTGTGCAAGGGAGGTTTGTGCGCATGCTGCTGATTAAAACATTGTTGGGGAACGGCAGCTACCCCGCGATAACCAACAAAAAGGCAACTGCAGCCGACAAAGAGTTTATTTTTATGCACTACTGCTGTTCCATGTATTCCTCCCAGCATCACCTCACCCTGCCTACCTTCAGTACACCTGGTCTCCTGCTCAGACCTAGAGTGCCATTACCTGGTACAAACACTGAGCCAGGAGCGAAGATCTCTTTTTCAGACCATAAAACATTTCCCAATCACGACTTCCCTTCTGAACCTGTTGGGTGTCACTGATTTGCTGTAATTAGTGGTGTCACCTAAGAGCCTGTTGTCACCAGCGCTGTCCTCCGGCACAGCGTGGGCAGAGGGGCCGTGGGCAGGAGCAGGGGGACTATCAGCCCCTATTCTCGCTCATGGCAAGAGGTTAAAGTGCCTCGTACATCACTGGGGTTCTCTCCTTTCACGGCAATTCATTTAGGAGCAATGCTCAGATTAGACCCGTGACTAACGCTGCAACAAAGAGAAGTTTAAAATGAGATGTCATTTTCAGAGCTCCTCACAGGCGGCGAGGCGCTGCCTGGCAGCTGTATCAATCCCTGCCAACACACCGGCGGCCGATACGACCTCCGCAGCCAAAGCTTCGCCAGCTGATTTATCAGGGGATGGGATCTCGCTGGTAGATGGGAGGGATCGCATCCCCCGCAAATGAGGAGTAAAGGGGCTGCTTCAGATCATCGTATTAAACATGCAAATATTCTCCAGCAAAGATACTTTATCATCGCTGCTTGGCAAGGGCACACAATTCCCCTTCCAACTATTTCTGTATAGACATGTACAAACTCACACTGAACCAGAAACCCCAAAGGTGAGACACGCATTAGGGTTCCTCTGTCTTGTTCTAATTGTCCAAAGTGCATTAGGTTCCACAGTCCCAAAAATATCTAAAGTAGGAAAAGAAGATACTAACTCATATCAGATCCTCCACCAGGATAACCAGGTATGGCTCCGGGTATGAAACCCACTTGATTGTTGCAGAAATTAGGAGACATTTTGCTTTTAGAGCCTGTGCTGAAATGCAAGCACTTTAGGAAAATACAAAATTCTCTTCTTCCCAAGGGTCAGCAGAAAAGGAGGGGAAGTCCTGTGCCATACACATCCTCGAACTGCGGGGCCACAGCATCATTGCCACTGCTCTGCTGGGACCGTGTAACAGCAGAGAAAAAATTGCTGAAAGTTTGATGCCAAGTACAGCTGGGCCATAACAATACATGGGGGACCTCAGCAGAACACGGCCCGAGCATCACCAGCAAGACCTTTTTTGAAGGAAAAAGTCAACTTATGTCAAACAAAAGAGGATCTGCTGCACGGTGCTATGACAGAGATAAATGAGAAAAGCATCTCAGACAAATTGCTTCCCTTTAGCCAGATGGGGAAAAACTCCAGCGACGTCCTCGGCGGGGCGGGAGGGTGGGATGGAATGAGCTTTTTTCTCAATGGCTTGAAAGAGGTTGACTTTTTGGTACATATTCACTAGTTTATTTGGAAGACAATCCTCCCCTCCAAGAGATAAACACAGGCTCAATTAACATTTAAAACACATTTTTGTTTCCTAAACAAACTGTGCAGCAGACGTAACTGGAATGGAAGTTTTGCCTGTTTTCGTGTCACTTTGATGCAGCTGGAGCATCTCCAGCCCTGCTGAAATGCTGCTACTCGCCTGGAGTGAGGTAAAAGAACAATAAACTCCACTGAGTAATGTAATACGGAGCTGTTATACAAAACAAAATTACAGCAAAATAGCTCCACATGAAAGCAGTGGTTATCCCTGCCACGAATTTTTATCCAAAAATTTTCAGAAAGCCTTTGGATATACATCACCCATTGTTATTTTAACAATGCATATTTTATGTATTTATGTATTTTTTTCATAAGCATCTCTTGCATTTTATGGCATTACATCTGCCAGGAGGTGAAGAGCTGAAATAGAAGCAATGAGGTGTGGCAAAGTATTTTGCTTTATCTGAAAACCAGGCTCAGGAGGCTATAAAAAGACATCACAAGCTTTCAGAAGTAACTCCCCTTTCTGCTTGGTTCAAACATACAGTCATTGGGGGGGGGGGAAAGGATTAAAATGTTCAGTTAACCTATGCCCCAAGATGGTGTTTTGCTTTGCATAAATTTATGGTTAAGGGACAAGTTCTGATTTCAAGTTCACCCATGAGACCGTCACTGACATGAGCAGAAGTGGCGTGGATAAACAAGGGGCAACCTTGGAAATAAAGGGATCGCTTTCAGCCAAACCTCTCATCTCTCCAGGGATCTGTCTGCCCTGCCAAGGTGGAGAGAGCAGCTCAGTGAAGAGAGTTTGCTTCTAGAAGCCAGCAGAAAGGATTTTCTGCTCATTTCTGCAGCCTATAGCATCGCTGGCCAAGGCTCAGTCCTCACCAGCTCTTTTCCCCAAGCAACCCACCCAGTGAAATAAAATGTCAACGAATAAAATTCCAACACTACCGGGGTTGTTTCATTCCCTGCTTGTTTTGCTTGGCCAGGAAGGGGGTGCTGATGCCGATCCACGTCTGTAAGTAAGAACAAGCAGCGCACCTGTGACACAGCTCCCTTACAGGAGAAGGAGGAGGGGGAGAAGCGACAACAGAGGGTTTCAGGACGGCATTGCCGTGGTGGGATGCGAGATGAGACCATCAGCAGCGTGCGTGTGCAGGGACCACTCTGCTTCTTGCACCTTTCTACTTGGACCTGGTATAAATAAGTTATCGGGCTGCAGCAATGCTTGTAACTTGACAGTTACGCTTAGATCAGAGTATTATTTTAATTCTTTCTTGTGGCTGCACTCATTATTATATCCTGAGCCTTTAAGATCTTGCCAGCTTTTATGGTGCCAGATGTGCTTCTGCTTATTTTATCTCATTGTCTGCATTGCGGTGAGTGATGCCTCATGCAGCAGTGAAATCCACGGGGCATTAAAAAGGATTTTTTTTTTTTTTTCCTTTCAAGAAGCCTGATCTGCATGGGAGCACCCAGAGACACCACCCATCACAATAAGGTGGGGGCAAAACCTGCACACAGAACAGCTGGAGTAAAGCAAACAAAGCCTTTAACAAAGGAAAAGGAAGGCTACGGGAGGTTCCCTGGGTTACCGAACACACAAGAGCCACAAGGACCCTTCGGCACCGCGTCCCATCTGCTGCAGCCCCAGGCAATTGTGGAGCAACGAATGTCCAGTCAAAATAGTCCCCAAGAAATGTGGGCCACAAAGCACTCAAGGTCCCTGAAACAGAATAAAAAATCCTGAGGGTAAAGAGACAAAACCCAGAAACAGAAGGTGGGAGAAAAACCATCAGCTATAATGTCTGTGAAAGACGAGGGAACTTGCTGAAATCAGCCAGGAGACGTGGGGAGCAGACCACATCCCACAATGCAGAAGAGGGAAAAGCCCCATGAAACAAAAATATTCAACATGGAGAAAATGGGAAACTTTAAGCTTTCCCCCCCCAGAACTCCAGGATAAGATCCGCACCCCCATGGTGACCACCTTGGCCCCGGCACGCAGCACCCAGCCACCACCCAAGCGCATTTTAAGGCTCTTTCTGCACCATTTATACCCAAGAAACCCATCCAAACGCTTGGAGAGCCCCAGGGATGAATATGCACTGCTCCCCTCCAAGGAAAGGCAGCAGGCACCGATCCTCCACCAGCGAGCAGCAGCCCCAGCAGCGTGCAACCCGCGTGCGAGCCGCAGCGCTGCGCCAGCCTGGCACCGATGGCAGGAGCACCACGGGCTGAGGCAGCTCCGAGATGACTGCAGAGAGAAAACCTGGCCACTGGAGCACTAAGACATTTCAGCCAGGGCACATCTTCCATAATTGAGAATTATTCATGCTTTCTATCTTTTTAGAGAGCAAACTAAGGAGATGAGAGGAGCCATTCATCGCTGCAAAGCCCACCTCTGCCGCCCTTTGCACGCTGCTTTTCTGGATGTTTTTGAGTCTCTGGCAGAAGGTGTCCCGATGTCACTAACCCAGAGCCCGCTGCAGACAAACGGAGAGCGTGCCATCCCTCCAGACACGCGGCGCCCGGGGCGGCAGAGCGGGCTGGAATGCAGACTGTGCTAAGGCAGCAGCTTGCAGCTTCTTGGAAAAATAAGACACATGACGTGGGACATAATGCCAGCTACTCGACACTTAGAAGGGAGATACAGGAAATGATTCAAGGCTTGCCCAGGCTGTGTGAATCTGCACAAACCAATGGGTTAAAAAATATAAGGAAAAATGTTGCAGAAATCAGCTCTTAGTAAACTTTCCTGTAGTCTCTGATTTCCAGCAATATATGAAATTCAACACGGCCGGTTGGTTCCTTGCTTATTCTTGGTATTGGTATAAACAATAACAACAACAAAAGGCAAAATCCAGTCCCTTTTAAGTATCAGGACACAGCAGAAAAGGGGCCTTGGAGACACTCGCATGGGAAGAGCTGGTTCCACAAGCTAAAATACAGAATCCAAATTAAATCCCTCCATTCTGGTCCCAGCTGTGCTCATCTGAGGATTAGCTGGGTATCAGCTGTAAAGCTTCTAGGTGTTGACTCTTAAATACTAAATGCAGAACTAAACGTTGTCAGCTGCAGCTCTTAGAAAGGTCAGTTCTGCTGGGGTGGTGTAAGGGAACAAGGGGAGAACAACGAGGTTCATTTGGCTCAGTCTCCAGTGGGATGTTGGTTTCTGGATCTGAGAACTGCCCGATGGTCTCTGTCCATGCCGCGTTTGAGTCTGTTCATAGCACCTGGGTTAGGTGAACACCGCTCTCCCGTCCAGACTGTGCGTTTATGGCTAAGACAAACATCTCAGTGCAAGTTAATTATGCTGCAATGGGACTGCCATAATTTTTAGTTTGTCAGTGTGAATCCTTTTCAGGCGTAATGTTCCCATTGGGCGAGATCCCAAACCGAGTTCACTCTGAAGATGTTCCTGTGACGAGGCTCGAGCCCAGCATCACCACGGAGCACTTTCATTAGAGACATTTGTCAGAAGTATCCAATTAACCACGGCTACCCAGCCAAAATAGCTGGATTACGCTGTACGAGGAAGTTCACATTTCACTGCGTGATTACAACATTCCTGAAGGCTATATGCATCTCAAATATGATATCATACCAAGAGCGTGCAAAATATTTTTTCCTTTTCTCTGCCTTTCATGTCACATATAGGCACCCTGCAACCTACCTTAAGCTAAGCTCCTTAAGCTTTTATCAAACAGGAGTTTTAGCCATGCCATGAAAAGACACTCCAAATAAACAGCACATATATGTGCACAGACTAGATACACAGTAAATAGTATTTGTTATTATTATTAATCTTTACAGTTATGAGAATTTAAATATTTATCTTTTTCATGCTCGTTGATCTCTTCTAGGAAGTTTCTTTCTTTCCCACTAACCTAAACCCCATTTCCGCAGAGGCCCGTTGCTACGTGGCTGTTCCTTGGTCAGAAGACCGAAGGGCAGTCTCAGTCACTAACCTGCCACATCTGATTTTTGCTCTCCCAGCCATACTGGTGGTATTACCATCTAGACCCATCATGGTCTTATGCCCAGGAATATGTTCTGGTAGGGCAGCCTGGTTACTCGTGAAGAAAGTATTAAAAGTACTCTTTTATAAAAGATTTAGGAAAAAACCCCCAAAGAACCCAATCCCAAAACCAACCAGCTTCTGTTTTTCAACTTACCTCATCAACGTGTCCAACCGCTCCAAAGATCTTTGCTGTTTGCCCAATCAAACTTGGAAAACTCTCCCCAATTTCTTTTAGCGTCGGGAGAAAAGCGGCCAAGGCTGTTGGTTCATAGCTGGATATTTCTATAAGGATGCTGAGAATAATTTCACTGTGGTTAGGGTCCCTCAAATGTCCCAAGAGGAATGGAATACACCCTTTCAGCACCTATTAAAAAAAAAAAAAAATCAGACAAACTGTGAATATATTTTTTAATTGTGAATCTGTATAACCGAAAGAGGGCACTGTACATTGGAGTGATAAAAATAAACCACTAGATTCTGATTTAGGAAGATAGCCTTCCACCCTTGCTGACCTTATCAGAACTATGGCTCAGGTCAATCGAAGTTCAGCTGAACACATGGAACATGGGTAAGCTGCAGCCTTGAAATATTGCAGTTATGCATACACAAGTGAGGAAACGTCCAATTGTTAAAAAAGGCAAAAAAATCCCTCGCCAAATATTTCCCTTGCTCTAGGCCAGTCCTATACTGTTTTGATTAAAAACCATAGAACCCGGCCTCCCCCAATGGTACAGTAAATTAAATACTGGGAGAAACATTCAGTTTCCACCGGAAACGAAATAACGTGACACGGTTAACAGGGGATAAGGGGCAGGATCCTCATTGCACAAAAAACACACCGTAGGCAAGTTATAATTTCTTGTAACAACACAATTTTCAAGATGCTGAGGGTGTAGTCTTGAAATCCTCTTACAAACAGGATGCAGAGTATCCAGCTGAGTGATTCTTTTCCATATAAACACACATGTTCACTAATACACCTCTGGTTCCGTGAAGCCATTGCATCTGTGTAAAAGATATTTCAACACAGAAATGGGGCATAAAGTGACCCATTCTTATGGGGGTTTTTTTTTTTGTTTTTTTTTTGTTTGTTTGGTTGGTTGTTTTTTTTTTAGGATTATCAATTTTAGCAAGTCAATACCTGTCACACTGGCAAAATACTGCAGGTGGTTTGCTGAATAAATTGTTAGTAGTAACAAATGATAATACCAGTAATAACGACAATACAAACCAACTTCAGCCACGTCAGCTCCAGCGTGGAGCCCCGCGACACCCAATGGTGCACCCCAGCCCCCTCCCACTGACAAGTCCCTTGGCTACCTGGGGGAAGATACTAAGGACTGTTGATTCTTCTTTTCCAAAGATTTTATTAATTCCATCAATTCACAAAGCAGGCAGTTTGGTGCCTTGTTCCAATGTGCTGGATGCTCTCAATGACATGAAATTTCCAAAGCAGGATATACTTTCCCTTAGTTAATTAATCTCCAGCTCACTCCTAATCAATTCCTAACTCATTTTGATTTTCTCGATGTGCAATTTAACACAGTCCACATATCCTCATGGAAACCTAGATATGGGAATTCATACATAGCTGGCAGAGGAAGAGCCAAAAAAGTTGAAAACGGTTCTGCTTTAACACAAACTTTTTGGTCCAGCAGAGTCATTGTCATGTTGTCTTTATGATTAGATGGAGGATTTGGAATGGAATTAAAGAATTCGCGTAGGGAAGGACCGTCAGGCGTGGTACAGGATTCCTGACTGCTCAGAGACCGGCCAGCCCTCGCCAAGGCGCCTGAAACAAATAAACTCCCCAAAAAGGAGGTGCAGCATTTAGATATTCCAAACATGCTTTTACCCCAAGTTCTTTTTTCCTGGCCACGCTCTGGAGGAGCCTGAGGAGGTGATGTTGTTCGGCGTGATCCAGCTGAGCCATCAGTGCCACCAGCTCCCGCAGATGGAGGGTTATGGGCTCCGGTCGCTTCTCGTACAGAGCAGGGAGGACACGCAGCAGCATGGAGTTCCCTGGAACAGAGAAAGGAGAGACCAGTGACCTACCGTGTGTCCGCATCCTACAGCGAGAGACAGACACAGAAAATCAGCACAAGTCCGGAGACACCAATTCTTGAGAATCATCAGTACAAAGGCATAAAATGCACTGTAGGAAAATCTATACTGGGCCAAGAAGACTAATAAATAACCTAAATCGAATGAATCATTGCAGGCATAATAACATAGGTGTAAAAAAAAAAAAAATCTATTAATTATAATTGTCATTCTCAACTACAATCTCATGAGAAGGCTGCTCAATGAGCTTTCAGGTTTGGATGATACTCTGGTGAGTCCTAGACCAAACTAAGTGTGATTTAAATTAACCCAAAAAAAAAAAAAAAAAAAAAAAGGCAGCCAGAAGGCACATAAAAGCTATATTTCTCCTTTGTTGAGACTCAGACTTTCAAATTAAGCAAGCAGCATATGGAAAGAATAGTTGTTTATGAAGAGCACTAAGTATGCATGACAGTGAATTTGACCAGCAATAGTTAAGGATGCCATTCCAGGAATAGAAAGGAGCCAGAGAGAGTCAACTGCAGACAGACAAAGATATGCAAAACCCTCTCTCACACATTTTCTTAAGATGTCTGTGCATAATTCAATTTGAAGCCCAGGCTCATACCAAAATATATAACTTTGCGTTGCTGTGCATGCCTGCCTCAATATATTTAAGTTTCACTTGAACAACATATGGAAAACATCTGCCTACGGCAACGTAGTATGGCTCCTTTTTGTAAACCCTTGAAAGTCCTTACGGTCTCTTCGGATTTGGTTTCCAATAGGAACTAGCACTCTGGCCTGCTGCTTTGTCTCCTATTTAAATCCGAGCTTTATAATTCTGGAAGATAAGCAGGTCACTCCTTGGAGGCTAGAAGAAGGATGGATGGGTCAAACCGGAGAACATCCACCGTGCACTCACCTGATATAGCAAACACACCCCAAGATACTGTTGGGTCTTGCACCATCACCTGAGCCAAGCAGCAAACACATAATTCATCCCAGGTTCAGACAACTTTTAGTCACACAGCTTGTAATGGAAGCGCCTCCGCGCCATCCAGCCAGCCGCGCTTCTGCGTCCTACCCCAAGTGTTTATTCTGCTGCAGAATCCTTGGCTTCTCCTTGAAGGGAGCTCCAAGCCCTCCGTGCAACCCCTGCAAGGCTGAAGGCAAGGTTCAGACCCCGCCTCTAGACCCATGGATGTGGCAAATTTCTGCCTCGTTTCGTTCTATATATGAAGCACAAAGGCCAGTTGCAAAGGAGAGATATTTGCTGATGAATTACCCCAAACACATCAGTGAGCTCCTCAGTTCTGGCCATTTTCTAGCCACATTCTTTGTGCAAATCTCTTCCGGATGTTACAACCGAGTCTGTAAAAAAGTGTCACTTCTTTTATGAGTGTCACTAACGTACCATGGCACCAAGAGGATGTATTTACTTGAATTTTTCTGGACTCACATCTGAGCTGGAAATGCAACAATTTTGTAACTAAATACACTAAAAATTATTTTCCTCTCTGGATAATGTAGTGCTTACAAAAATAAGTCCTTTCTTTGCACTTGCACACCCTCAGTTTCCTCTGGCAGTTTTCTGCCCATGTGGAGCAGAGCCCTTAAGCTCCGGTTGAATTTCAGCAATGGCAACAATTGCAAAAGATGAAATTCCCATGGTCCTGGATGGGCAAAATTAATCTCAGCTGTGAAAATGTAGAGGGAGGGAATTCAGCAGAGATGAACCAAACCTAGCAGCTCTAAACGAGGACAGCCACTAACCCAAGATGTGCTATTGCCTAAGCTGGGATGTCGCCGGTGAGAAGGTAAGGGGAAAGCAGGGCTAATGATTCAATCTGAGCAAACCAGCATCTTCCCTATCGGCTGGAGTGATGCAATTCGACATGACACGATGGATCCCAGCCATGAAACTTCTTGGAACAAAAAAAAATTTGTACAAATGCAAATGTGGGCAGTTTCCTCCAGTGATCGTACAGCAAACATTTCTGGGTTTATGCTCACTAACCAAGACAAATGAGAAGCAACGCCATCCCTCTGGAGTGATAAATGACCTCACTGACATGGAATTGCTTTCGATGGAACAACCTGTGTACACAAACCTGTCAGCAATCCGAGCAGAGATCACAGCTTGTCTCTGTTCTTTATACAGCTTCGGAAAGGTCACGAAGCACAGGCCAATTCGCTATTTTCATTTATTTGCAAGTTGTGAGTAAGCTCCAAGTACCTCTTGCCCTTTGTTTGTCACACCTTTTCAGTTTCTACGGAATTTACGCACACGCAGCTCACCAACCTTTCTATTCTCAGAGCTTGGGCTGTCAGAGGCGATACTGAGCCCATTCCCAAGTAATTCACTTTTTTCCATCTTGCTTCATCTGTCTCAGTCTAAACTAAGAGCCTGAAAAGTATGTTTGTTGTCTGAGAATGGAAAAACATTATCCTCAGCTCCGTAATTACCTTTGTTTTCCCCTCTCCCTTCCCCTGCCACCCTTACCCCCGATACTTTCCAGATTAGATTTCCTCAGACTTTCCAAGCAGACCACACACGGGCAATTGCGCAATTCGGGCAGAAACTAACGTGGGGTTGGGGACACTCGATGGCTTTGCACCGCTGGCTGTGAGTCAGGTCGGGAAGAGGCACGGACAGCACGAGCAACCCCAACCACGGGCTGTGACGGTGCTAGCCTGCCCCAGGACAAAAAAAAAAAAAAAAAAAAAAAAAAAAGAGAGAGAGAGAGAGAGAAAAAGAGCCTGGTAGCACACTGCAAATGTACCATGGAGCGAAGGAGCTCTCGAAGCGATGCAGCAGTGTTGCCACATCCACTTAGTCCCATGAGAAGGGGCTAAACCAGAGACTCCAGTGGAAAGGGATCACAGATTAAAATAGTTTTGCCATTCTCCAAATACTTCATAGCCAATAGATAATTTGTACCACCAGTATATTGCCCCTAATCTCACCGAAGCAATACATCTCTAAAACAATCAATGGCCCATTCAACTGATAAGCTTTCCAGAATTTCAAACAGATCAGCAATACTTAGCACTAGATTAATGTCTCATCCAAGAGTGCCTTGGTTGGTGGTTTGGTTTGGTTTTTTTTTTTTTTTTTTTTTCAAAGTGAACAGAAACAACTCTCATCATGCAGCTGCTAATCTACGTGCTCCCAAAGCAAGACACTAGCAGTAAGGTACTATCCATGTAGTTATGATGTTGCTTTTGGTAATTAGGGCTAGAAAAGCAAAACTCTAACAAGCTGCCTTTACAAGTTCTCCTTTATTGCTTAAGGCACTAAACTGCTAGTATATAATAGAAGTTTTTATACACAACTATCAAAAAAGCAACAATATTTAAGTTAAACCATACACGCGGATCCCAACCAACTCCAGGTACGTTTATTTTTCTAACAATCCCTTCCAGAGCCCTGGCACGCACCAACTACCAAGGCAGTTTGCAGGGAACACTTTCCCCAGCTAACACACAACCACCCAACCCACGCAGCCAGGGCTCCATCCCTCGCTCCCACCCTCGCTGCGCGTTGCAGCAATCCGCTCTCGGAGGGGAAGCGGCAGCTCGCAAGAGCTGCTTTCCCCGATCCTTCCCCTTCATCTCCCCCCCGGTGCAAACCTGGAAGGCTGGGATTGAGCAAGCTGCACGCCCCCTTCTCCTCCCAGCCAAAACCAACAGCCAGAAGTGCTCTTGTTACAACACTGGCACGAGCCTCGCTCATTCATCGGGGCTGAGGCGCTCGCAGCATTTATTAGGGGCTCGCTGCATCTCCCTCGCAGAGGCTCGTCTCCACTGCAGCCTGACTTTGACTCCAGCTCCAGGCAGCTCAGCTATTTGCAGGAAGCAGCTAGAGAATGCTGCCCCAAGAAATCTTTTCTCTGCTCACGCTGTTCTGTGTTTTCAGGGCTTCTGTTTCTGTCCTGGATGAAGACGATGACTATGATCTCATGTATGTGAATCTGGATAATGAGATTGAAGGGCCAGTTCTCGGCACCGAGGAAAGTAAGTAGATTTAAACTACAGTGGTGTTAAGTGCAGAATTGTGTTCTTTGTTGCTTAGCTCTTATAACAGTTATTATTACAAACAGAATTTTTTTTTCAGAGGAAGAACAATGTGCTTGCACTGGTAGAATATAACGGGCAGCAAATGCTATAGCACTTGGATAGCGTGCCTTGGAATTTGCTTTATATTCTTTATTTTCTGTTTTCCTGCAAAAGAGTCCCAAAGAGACTTAATTTTAAATTGCTGTAATACACATTGCTTCACCTTTCTGTTCTGATAGAGGGAAACACACCGACAGCCTGGAGCACCTAAGCCTTGCACAGAGCCAGGTTTTGTCAAACGCTCCTTCTGTCTAGAAATGTCGGTACAAAGCACTAGCAGCATCTCCATCTTCCCTTCCAGCTTCGTGCGACTGCCAGCGAGAGCACACCGAGTGGGACAAGCTCTTCATCATGCTGGAGAACTCGCAGATGAAGGAGAACATGATGCTGCAGGCGATGGACGAGGTGCTGAAGGTGGACCTGGCGGCGCTGAAAGCGGAGCTGAGCCAGCTCACCGCCAGCCTCGCGGGCACCTTCGCCGCCACCACCGAGAAACTCACCTCCCGCATCATGTCGCAGATGGAGCAGGTGCTCACCAGGAACTGTGACCACGCTGAAGAAGCCAAGAGGCTTCAGGAGTCGGAGCAAGGCAAGGTTCTGGAGCACATCCTGATGCTGAGCCACAACGTGTCGGCCAGGCTGGGCCGGCTGGAGAGCGCCTGGCTGCGGAGGTCCCAGGCGGAGGCTCAGGAGACGGCTCTGCAGCAGGATAAGTTCAGTCCCAGCAGAGGAGACAGCCTCATCTGGAACTCGCTGTGGAAGGAGCTGCAGCAAACCAGAGCCGACCTGCAGGCGTCGCAGCGATGGGCAGCCCAGCACCTCCTGCCAGCAGGTAAGCCCGCGGGCGCGATGCCTCACCCCAGAGCTCTCGCTGGTGGGTCTGTCCAAACAGACAACCTACAAACACTCCTCCTGAGCACTTTCCTCCACATACAACTCCAAAGCCATCCTATGGGCAGCACAGCAGCTTCGAGCAGTCTGTACAGGCAGGGAGGAAGTCATGGAATCACAGAGTGGTTTGGGTTGGAAGGGACCTTAGAAAAATCCATTAACTGTTCTCGAGAAAGAGGCACTGAGCTTTCCAAACGTGGGATCAAAGGAGGGTTTAATCAAAGTCCTTAAACAGGGTAAAGCAGCCACCCAGCAAGGATCCCACCTCCTGTGGGCTCTCCCAGATCAAACCCTTTGCCAGACAGATTTTAAACACACCAATTATCCTCTCCCACCTTTTACCTTCCCAGCTGGTAATTCCCACACGCACACACTGAGCTCTCCTCTTTGTGCATGTACCCCTCCTTCCTCTCCCTAAGCAGAGCGCTGCCTCCTCCTCACCAGCTCCAGCTGCCCAGAGCAGAGCTGGATCCCAGGACACGCTGCTCGTGTCAACCAGCTGAGCACGCTTCCCGCAGCAGGGCGGGCGCATCCCTGCCTGCTACTGTCAGGACAGAACATTTCCTCAAGCATGGAAAAATTACTAACACTGGGGTAGTGTTGTGGGGTTTGGTTTTCCCCTTCCAAAATGTTTGCATTGGTCGGCAAGCAAGGTGGCTGTGGAAAGAGGAGCTCAACTATCAATTTTTTCTGTGCACTATAAAGCAAGACCCAAAAAGCAGCATCAGCAGCTCAGGGATGGCAGAGCAGACCCCCACCCATTTAAAGCGTGGGTGCAGAACTGCTGCATGCACAACAGAACTGCATCGAATAGAACTCTGCCTGCCAGAGAGCTACCGCTGCCTGTTCTAAAGGCTGGCGTGTCTTTAACAACTGTATTTTCCAAAAAAAAAAAAAAAATTAAAAAAAAAAAAGTTACCGCAGCTTAGAAGCCCCGCAGAAACCTCCACTTGGGGTGTGTGCGAATAGGAGGCTCAGGGTGCAGTTACACCGGCCGCAGGAGCCACCCTTAGCAGCACCACCAGCGTGAGCTCTTACACGGGCGAGCAAGCAGCAGCGCTTCTTGTAACTGCTAAAGCAAAGGCAAAAACACTTCCACAAGCCTATTACAATAGAAGCACAACATAACAATGGTTGACATCAAAGCGTTTATCTCCCATCAATCTATCCTTTCATGTAGGACCTGGATTCAGCTTTGTAAGTAAATTGCTTTTGCTCCTTTATTTATCGTAACACCGTAGTCATCTTTGCGTACAGGGAGTAGAGCTTGCAGCATATTCCTATTTTCCCCCAACACACGCATCTTGCCTTCCAGAAGCATGATCTCACTCTTGATCTGTCCCCTGTCACCCAGCCAGCCTCGCCGCCGGTTCCTCTGCTCTAGGTGAGGGTAAAAATACAGATCAGTGCGAAGGATCTCAGCCCCATCCGTGGAAATCCAGGCTCTTTCCACTGGTTCCTACAGGATTTTATGTCAAGTGTTCTTATTTTTTAATTTAAAAGATACATTTTAAGTACTTCCAGAGTTTCTCTCTGGAAATTTTTTTTTTCCAAGGGAATTTTTAGCAACTGACTTTAATTTCTCACATCTTGAATTACTGCCAGCCGTACTCTCGAGGGATTTTCTAATCACTTTTTGTTCTTCAATGAGGCTGGTTTTAATTTTGTTTAGGCCTTGATAATAAAGCCTGAAAGCTTGCTAATTAAAGGCTTTTTCACAATAGTGTTCCCAAGGAGCATTTTAAAGAGTATCCCCAACAGTTCCTCGCTGCCCCACCCCAAAAGGGCCAAGGAAAGTAAAACCTGCCCGAAGCCGAAGGGAAGCGGTCTGTGCAATAACACAGCAGCACTAGGAGACACAAAGAGCCCTTCATTCACTGCCCCAGAAATTTCCACACACATTTCAGATCCTCCAGCTCGTTCAAACAGGAAATGAACCAGCTTAATTGTAGACGGGGGCTGCTCTTTCCCCTCCGCCGCTCGGAATAATTAAGTTGTACATGACTAGGGAACAGTGCACAGAACACGAAAAATGGCTTGGGTTTGGTGATCATCAGTTACTTTGCCAAGTTTCACAAATTTGTTTATAGTTTGAACGAATCTAATTGCTGTTATCAATATATTGATTAATTGGAGATGAGGGATGAGCTGTGTCAAAAATATCCGTTGTCTTTTACATTTCCCATGCTCAACTGGTGTCCGTGAAAGTGACTGACCAACAGCCCTAAAGGCAGGGTCAGAAAATGGGGTCATTATACTAAATATTATAATAATTAATGATCAAACACACACACCTCGGCATGCTTCTGCCAACGCTCCCTGCGCCTGCTCTGCGTAGCGCCCGTCCCCTTCTCCTCCGCTGCCCAGTGACATGGGACAGCAGCAGGATGCTGTGGAACTGCTCATGACACCGTTGCCCCGCGTCCCATGCCACCATCCTGGGAACGGCACGGCATCCAAACCCAATGATGATAAATCACCAAACCCATCCCCTCACCAGAGCATTTTTTTCATCACTCTGCGCACACACACAAAAAAAAAAAAACACGGAGGCTAAAAACCAGACCTAAATTAAACAGTGGAGAACTACCCAATGTAAAGCACTAATTCTCTAGGTGACCCAGCAGAAAAGAAGTTCTGTCCCGCACACACCCCCGGGGGAGCCCAGCTGCCCAAGGCAAGCACCAGGGCAGCACTAAACCAAAATGTCACCGTGCACGGCACAGGACCGCACGATGCACTACTTCTGCAGCCAGGGAAGAGCCAACCCTTGTTCCTGCAGCCTCCTCACCCCCTAGACCCACTGCCAAAGAGTCGGGTGAATTCATCCATCAGATCTGACAGCTCCTCCAAAGCAGCCTGCGTGCCCCGGATGAGCTCAGCTCCCTTTAAGAGGTGCAGGAGGGAGCGCAGTCCTAATGTGCACGTACAAACTGACCTGTTTGTATTCACCTAACAATCCTTCTCACTTTTCCAGGGTGTGAAACAGCAATTCTGTTCCCCATGCGTTCAAAAAAGATCTTTGGGAGCGTTCACCCAACTGCTGGAATGAGCCTTCGCTCCTTTACCGCTTGTATCTGGATCAAGGCAACGGAGGCTTTGGACAAAACGATTGTCTTCTCCTACGGAACCAAGTTTAATCCGTACGAAATCCAGCTTTATCTCAGCCAGGAGTCTGCAGTGCTTGTGGTTGGCGGTGACCAGCACAAGTTAGCTGCCAAAAATGTAGTTGTTCCTGGGAAGTGGATCCATCTCTGCGGCGCCTGGAGCTCGGAGAACGGATCAGCATCCCTGTGGGTGAAGGGAGAGCTCGCAGCCAGCGCCCTGGACGTTGCCAACGCTCACACCATTCCAGACGGAGGGATTTTGCAGATCGGTCAAGAAAAGAACGGCTGCTGCATTGGAGGTGGATTTGACGAAGCTTTAGCCTTCTCTGGAAAATTAACTGGCTTTAACCTGTGGGACAGAGTGCTCAGTGCCAGGGAGATAGCGGCACAGAGCGGAGAAGACGCCTGCAGCACCAGGGGCAACGTCGTCGGGTGGGGGGTCACAGAGGTTTTGCCGTACGGAGGAGCCCAGTATGTTTCTTAAATTCTGGCAAAACAGTTTCTGAAGCAGAGAATGTATTTCACAAAGAGCTGAACACCAATACGTACGAGTGAACAGAGCCGCAGGAGCCCGTGTCTCTCCAGTTCCCCAGGAAGATGAGCATCGCGCCTTTATCAAACGAGGTACTGCGGAGATGGGACCTGACCTCTGCCTGCTCTTTGGACAAAACACTGAAAACACATCAAGGCGTGACATTGGAAAAGCTGTTCCTGAGGTCAGACGGCTGCTGTCTCTCGCGCGTAGTGTTTTCTGATGTACGTGAGTGCCGCTGCGGACGTGCCGGTGCTGCTGGCATCCCCGCTGAAACAAACACGTCGGGTACCCAGCCGAGCGGTCCCTGCAGAACACACATGAGGCTGCGCATCTTCCAGGCTCATCCAGCCAGGGGGTTTTGTAGTGCTAATGTGAATTGTACAGAGGAACCACATAAACCAAGAGATGTGTTGGTTATTAACCATTTTTAGTAATTTGTATCCTATAACAAACCTAGCTCCTTGTTTAAAGCATTATTTATGCCATGGATTGACCCAACGTATGAAAGTAATACACCCCATCATAGTCTGATGTTACATTTTGAGAAAATGCAGCTGTATTATATTGTAAATTGACTTGGTAATAATTTTATTGAAATTATTTTTGTAAAGTTGTTCTGTAAATAAAGATACTTTACTGAAGTAAAACTTTCCACGCTTCTCATGAACTGAAACTCTCAAAGTAAGTACCAGCTGGGGATTTTTCCATGTTTTGAACCACATAATTTTAGCTGCTAATAGAAAAAGAACACAAATATCAAGATCTCATACAAACAGAGCCCCTCAGAGGGCGCAGGCATTAACCAGGGAGGGCTTTAAGCTCCCCCGTGTAGCCATCGTCACTTGTGCAGAAGAGATGCTCTGACGTACGGACACGCGTGCGTTGACCTAAGGCTGGGCCAGCACGGTGCTTGGGGGCTGAAGGAAGGACTGGGTTTGGGATACCCCCAAATAAAAAAAAAAAAATTAAAAAGTCAGTGCTCCATGCATACTGCTGGTAATCTGAGGAGGACATATGCAGTTTTAAGATACATTTAGATATCCAAACTAACTCGTTTGATGCTAACAGGAGGTTTGCACAAGGCAGAATTGATGACTATTTGGTGGCAGGATCTTTCTTCTCTCCCATCCACAAGCTTACCTAAAATCCACTGAAAACACAGGGCTGGATCCAGCATGAGCAGCAGAGCCAAGGCACCGGCAGTGATTTGTGTGAAGAAAAATGAGCTGAAGCAGACAACGATGAATCGTTATTTGCTGGGTATGTAACTCTTTACGGCAGGAACGATTCTTCACTACCTGTTGAAGCCTCTGAACAAGTTATTGTGGAGAATGTCTTACTCAAAGCAATTCCTGTTTCCCGGGGAAGCAGCACACCCTTTGGCTCTGTTCACGTTTCTCTGTCTTTATCATTCTCTACAGATGTCCTCAGACTAAACTTGGAAAAGTTTGACACATTGCTGCCATGCTTATTCCTGAATACGACACAGCTCCCAGATCATTCCTTCCATGATACGAAAGCAGTAAGAAGAGGCCATGACCAGGTAATTTCCACTTTACTATGTCATTCATCACTTACATGATGCTCCAAAGTTTTGGCAACATTAGTTATTTAAGGTAAAAATAACTGCTCCAGTTGCTGGAATTTCTCCTGTTACCCTGCAACAAAATCTATCTAAATTATAAATGCTGAGAAGGAAGCATGACAAAAATCCCTTAGTAAATAATATCTGCAAATAACCTTAACTACAGAACAATGGGCGATTACCGCCGTTCATCTGCTGCCAGCCAGAAAACAGCTCTTCGGAGTTAAGAAAAACACTTGAGGTCCCAACATTGTGCAAGGGTAAAACCGCTCAAATCCTCCTTCCGTACAGTGCCCTCATTAAATGAAAACAAGTGTCCATGAAACGCAGCAGAAAAAAAAAATCCTCAAAAAGATTCCCAGAAGCCCCTCCTGGCTGCTTTCCTTACTGTACCTCCTACCTGAAATGCTTTGTCTTGGAAGCAGCCTTTTCCTATCTCTGTTCTGGTTTGGCAGGTGACCAAACACAAAGCCAAAGCCAGTCCTTCCATTCTCACTGACTCAGCTGGAAAACTCTCCTCTTTCCCCCTGCTTTGCTCTTCCTTTATCACTTCCCTGTGGACAGCAAAGCTTTCCCAGAGCCTGGTCCCCTCCTGCCCAGCACCACCAGTCACCTCCATCAGCACACTTCTCTCTTTACCTCCCAGCTTAACTATATTTTTTCTTTGTCAGCAGCTACTTTGCCTGTTTGGATAACACCTGGTAAATAGTAGTTTGGGTCCCGACCCTGTCTTTGCACTGACGGAGCAAACACAGGACGTGCGTGCCTAGCGAGCCCAGCTCTGCTCTCCAACAAGCCTCTGCCCAAGGCAACGTCCCATCCCTTGCCTGGGCTCCTCCGGACAGCGGAGCGGCCGGGTGACTCTCTGCTTACAGTGATGATTGCTAGTTTTGCTGCTGTCCCCTGGAAATGGGAATCAATCTGCCTGGTCCCTTATGCTAACGGAAGGTGTCAGCATCGGTACAGACTTGTGCATGTTTGCTGAGTTCACACCAACTGGAACAGAGTAGCTCAGTGTTCTTTCTAAAGAGCTCTTTTTTAGCTAATAAGATAAGACACTGATTACGCAGCCAAACAGTTGCCCCAAGTAATCAAAAAATCCCGTTAGCTCCCAAACACGTGCAGGCAAGGGGCCAAAGCCTGCTCTCAGCCTGGCTGGTGCCGTTCGGCTGAGCCCTGTCCGTGCAGCCCCACAGCACAGCCCTTTGTCCCCGCGCTGGTCTGTAAATCCACCCTCAGTGATCCTCTTCCCTTCTGCCTTCAGCAGATGCTCAGTCCTTAAGCGTGGTTCTTAGCCTGCTGCAAACCCACCTTTTCACACCTGAAATACAAATTCTGTGCAGAGCAGTGAAGGCAGGATGAGAGAGCACTTTGCCCTCGTCCAGCCTGGAATCTCCAAACCTGATGGCCACAGCAACATCTGCTGGTAGAACAACATAAATACACAAAACCGAGCAGGCACAGTCGTGATGAGACCTTCGGTTGCGGGTGTTCATCACTTTTCCTAAACCTATGAGTACACAATAAACCTGTTTCACTTTATTTCTATTAGTAGCACTGAGTTACAAGGGTAACACACAATGTTAACAGACAAATACCAGTGTCACAAGTCTTAAAAGAGTTATCCATACATATAGCTTCGTAAGTTATTAGCAATATTGTGTTCTTGGACTCTACTCAATTAGTACTATCACTTAGCTCATACATATTTATCATGTTTATCACACATTTGTCCCTAAATAAAGTGGACAGAAATATGCAAACTCTGACCATAATGTCTTAACAGCAAAATTACTTTCTGGCTTCACTATCCCTCCATAGCACACCTAAAAATAACCACACTCCAGTTCTATCTTTTTTAAAAAAATACAGAATGCACACATTTAATTTGAGGGCTTAACATTCTCATAACAATGTTCTTGGAATCATTAGACAGCTATTGCTACTTACTGCTACTACTCGTACTCGAAGGAAAACCAACCATGATTTTACTACTGCAGCAGCACCGCATTGCAACAAGTCCTGGGAACTTTACAGCCTCATCTCAATTGGACATCCTTTTGCAGAGGTATGAATATTTGTGGCTTTTTAAACCACAAAAGTAAAATGTAGAGAGTTTAGCAACAAAATTCTACCTAAAGCTAATAAGGGAGGCAAAATTAAAGAACCGCTACAAAAGCTTTTCTATCTGACATCTGACGGTTTTGCCCCAGAAGGGGATTCATTTCATTCCCATTTATATTTTGGAGTATTGCCAATGACACTAACAGAAAGGATAAGTGCCCAGTAACTATCTGGTATCATGGCTTACAATTTGAAGTCCATTAGTGCAGCGTAATAACAAGCACAGATCTATTTCCTGCCCTGTGGGTCATCCAATCTATAACAGAACTTCCATAGTCAACAAGGTTCAGTAAATTGACATATTCTTAAAAGGTCTTCCTTGATATATCCTGCTGTTAGATTGTGTCTGACATGTTTTATCATGTTTATACACACGTCCATATGTATGCGTCATACACGTGCACAGGACAGACACGGAGCTGCTGGAGCGGGGCCAGAGGAGCCACGGAGATGGTCCGAGGCTGGAGCAGCTCCCGTGCGAGGACAGGCTGAGAGAGTTGGGGGTGTGCAGCCTGGAGAAGAGAAGGCTCCGGGGAGACCTTCCAGCACCTTCCAGTGCTGAAAGGGGGCTACAGGAGAGATGGGGGGGCTCTGGATCAGGGGGGCAGGGACAGGATGAGGGGGGGTGGGGTTGAAGCTGAAAGAGG